CCGTGTGCAGAGTGTCGTCCCTCCTCTAGGTTGCAAATACAATGACTGGATAATTGTCAAGCAGTAAATCAAGATAATTGCTAACATGCAAGACCGGTAGTTTTGGTTTTGGGAACCCTAGCATATTCTATACAGGTAAATGTACTGGATTTTGACAGTGCTTAACAAAAACGTCTTGACACTTAACCGAACATGTCATAAAAAGTGTTAGGGTATCATAGGCATGAACTTGTGGGTAGATAGGTATACAGGAAACACAATTGTTATTTTTGGCCCAAGACATTTTGATTGACCAGTGAGTTTACCTAGATTGATAGTTTATATCCTTTTAAATTGTCTCCTTCAATATAAATATACATACGATTCTTCAGTAGATGTGTTCCATGATTTCATTCATATTTTAGGTCTTTTTTCCGTGGCTTGTCATTTAACCCATGGATCTGAAGAAAGTTGTCGTCATTATCACTGTCCAGTATGTCTAAAAATATTCAAGTCAAGAAAAGACAATTTGATTCGGCATGTAGCCAAATGCAATGGAAGATCAAGTGAAAATGTTAGCGAACCTCTTCCAGTAGACTCATCTTCTTTTACAGTAAGACAAAATACAACCAGCCATCACACACAAAATGGTAATTTAAGTGCCCTAAGTGACCATTTGTACTCCACGCCTCTGTCAAAAGACAAAACAATACACAAAGAAGAAACTGTAAGGTGTACAGTGTGCAATAAACTCTTCTCGAGGGGATGGATAAGGAGTCACATGAAAATTCACGACAATAAGGAGGGAGAAATATCAAAAACAAAGCACCATTACACCGTGGTCATCGACGAACAAAAGGGACTATATACATCTGCAGTCAGTATGAAAGGACTCCGCCAGCCTATTCATGTTCAGAAAAAAACCCATGGCATTAATCAAAGCTACTGTGAAAATATCGCTTGTCACTTTTTAAAAGACACTGCGGTAAGGGGAAGTAATATGGCATATGAATGCCCACATCTTAGATCAGTCCAGTACGCCAAGCATGCTGATGTTGCAGTAATGCAAACATCATCGCTAGATTCACTGCTAGAGAATGGAATCATAACTATGGAGAAACATCTTGAAATGTTAAATATGTGTCAGGAGTCTGTCGAGAACAAGTCACCTCTCATTGTCAGAATACCTTACGATTTTTCAACATCCCAAAGATACATATTTTTTTCCGTTTACTCCGAAGATATTCGCTACTGGTCAAGACTCGGCAGGACTGTGGCTACATATGACACAGTAGGAAACAAGATAACATGCAAATGTTCAACTGGACGTCGATATTGTAACCACAAAATCTTGGTGAAGTGGTATTTATTTCAGGAGATTCCAGAAATGTACAACTCACAAGTAGAAACAGAAGACGATCTCGACCAGGATGACCAAGACCCATTAGAAATTAGTCAACCTACACGTATTACTACGGATGATGTCATGGTACAGTACCTGCAAAATAACAAAAAAATACCTCAGAATGTACATCAACCATCTGAATTTCGATTCAACGAATCTGTCAACTCGCCGTTTACACTTAAAGAATTGGTTCCAACCGAAAACAGTTGTATTCAATGTGATGTAAATCTGAGGAGACAAGAATTAAGATCTATTCAAATTGTTTTTATGAACAGAATCGATACAGGTAAAAAAATAAATCAATATCTTAAATACTATATTCGGTTCATTCAACCTATGCCAACATTTTGAAATTTAGGCATAAAATTGTATGAAAAAGTGTTGGCATAGGTTGAATAAAATATAACAGATTAAGTGTTATAAAAACAAAAAATAATTAGGGGCCAATCAATTTACAACCAGTTTAAAATTGGCGTTTAAGTGTACCCACAACTATTTTTGTTACTTGTAATAGTAAAAATGAAGGCAACTCTATATGTTGCTGATCTCTTTTGTATTAGGAATTAACATAATAAAACAATTGATGATTGACGGTTGCTTAAAGTCCCGAGTGGCAAATATTCCATGCATGTTCAGGATATACCAGTATCATGTGAATATCATGCAATATATGATGAAAATATTTGATGATATTTTTCTAAAAGTAGAATTACGTCAAATGCATGAAAATAATGAATATAGCACTATTTAAAATCTGATTCACATTGAAAAGTGTATTTTTTCACAGTTCAGTATTTATGAAATAATGGTGTTTTTGTATATATGTGTGTTACTTCTTATTACAATAGTGCTTTATTCTGCATTTCCATCCATGTATTCTAATATACAAAAACACATATTTCGTAAATACTGACATCAGAATTAAATACAATTTTACAATGTTCACTATTACATCATACCAGCTGAGACATATATACATATATAAAAATATATCTTATAGTACTGTAAGACACCTGAGACCACCCCCGGTTTATGGTGGGTTTTGCGTTGCTCAGTCTTTCGTTTTCTATGTTGTGTTTTGTATACAATTGTTTTTCTTTTGGTTTTTTTTTTTTTTTTTTTGCCATGGCATTGTCAGTTTATTTTCGACTTATGAGTTTGAATGTCCCTTTGGTATCTTTCGCCTCTCTTTTTGAATAGTCTGATAAACGGATATAGTATTCGTTACGAATATCATATATTCTAGAAAGATATTTTCTAGAAAGGACATATCTGGCATTTCCAAATCTGAAAATTTCAGAAGCAGTCTGACATATTTACCGTTATTACATATTATGTACATTAATATAATTATGCCGCTACTCATATGTGCTCAGCAAATTGTAATTCTCTGTGTTTAGATTTCTATTCTTTTATAAAATATTGTTAGATTCAATGGGGAATTATGTTTCTAAGACATAGAAATCATACTGAATTAAAGAGCTCTGTGAAAACTAGTTAAAGCCCATTTTTTATATATGATTACCAAAATTAATAAAGCACTTTTTCAAAATAAAATTTAAATTTAGATATAGAATATGAATCAGATTTAATACATTTTTAGCTTGGATACTCAGCAACAAGTCATAAGTGAGCAAATCTTGTATATTAAAAAAATCCCAAATAAAATATTTTTTTACATTAATTCTTTTTAATTTTTATGCTTTTTTATTTATTCAATTATTTTTGTTTGTTTTGTTTAAATTTTATATTTAGAACAACAAAATTTTGGGAGTATTTTACCATACAAGAGTGTTCTATTGTAATATTTTTATCTATTTTTTTCAAATATCATATTTTTACTACAACATAATTTTGCAAGTATTTAACTGTTGTTTTTTTATTCTAAAGGAGTAATTTTTAATGCTTTAAAATACTGACTGTATTTTACCTGTAATTAATTATTAATTGTTATAACAACACCCATTGTATTTTGTTTGTAGGCATAGGTTGTATATATATTTTTCAAATGTTGGCATAGGTTGAAGACACCCTATATTCAAAGAAAGTTTTGCAACACCGCCATTGAGATTAAAATGCGTCATTTGTTAAAATTGTGACTGTAAAATTTGACCCCTACTCTAGAAGTTTGCAAACAATGTAGTTGTCTAAAATTTAACCAACATAAATGTAAAAGTACTTTTGAATTCACAAATGATTGAAGATTAAGAAAACAAAACCTTTAAAGATAAATCGAGATTTTGTTTTACTTTGCGCTCAGTCAGAAGTTGTGTTGCAGAACGTTTTTTACGGTATTGTATATTATGAAATGCTTTTAGTAAAAATGGCAAAATAGTTATGCACTGATTGCTTGGTATGTTTCATATGAATCATATCAATATATTTTGATTTAACAAAACAATCTTGAATACACTCGGAAACCGTTTTTATATTTTTCTTAGATTAAATGAAATGTTCGTATTCGTGTCCATTCAATGTATAGTATATTATATATATGTATACTAGTATTTATCATACAACAAATCATATGACATTGAAAATTAAGGAATAAATACTTATCCTCCGTACCAGAGGGTTTATAAATAAAGAGAAAAGAATATCTACCCGTTTTAATACAACATTTTTCTATTTTGCCGATTAGCCACCTTTTAGTTTCAAAAAAATTAAGTACACCAGTGCAAAATGAAATAAATGAATCTTGATTTTATATAGTAGGTCGTTCAATCACAATACATGGGATGAATACAAAAAATAACAATTGAATATCTTTAAAGATAATTATAGAAAAATGTTTTTTAGATATGTTTATCATTTTTTTTTTCAGAAACCAAATTATATGAGAAAAATTGTCCGCAATGTAACAGATCGTACCACTACCGTGAATGGTCAGATGGCGTTCACAATTTCAACAATAAACTTATATTAGGACTGGACGTTTGCAGATTTATTAGAAGTGGCTTGGAGGTATGTGTATTAGCAAAGTAAATTTGGTGAAATCCTGTTATCAATGTGATTATATATTTGACCAAAAATCATGTTTTAACGAGCATAATCTTGTAATATAGGAGAAAAATGTATGATAGAATTTCAGTAATAAGCACAAAAAAGCAATGAAAAACATTTTCCATTAGATTGTAAATTAAATCCAAATGTAAGAGAACTACAACATAAAAGTCGATTATTATATAAACTATCACTATATACTAAACCAGTAAAAATATACCAACACAACCATCGACACCACTACATCTATAACTACTCCTTAAAAATTTTCAGATAAATTCTATTGCAATTCGCTTTCTATAATTCAATTTGATCAGACGTTTATGTATGTTATACAATTCATTTTGTTTTCTCTTTGGGGAGGAACATATTTGAATTTGTACGATCGCAAACGGGAGAAAAATAAACGATGTATATAAAGATATAAAAAGGGCTTAAAAATAAAATAGAATACATTCAGATCAAGTTCGTATATGTTTTATTGGGTTTAAGTCCAGTGGCAGATATCAATTACGCATTTCACGACAAAATAATGTGAACATGCTCTGCTTTGTACATATCCGATATACAGCGTCAGATGTTTTTCGAAACTCCGAAAATGAGTGATCCCTCTTATTTCCAATTCATTACATGTCTTGGTCATGCACATTTGTTAATATTCTTACTTTGTTTCAACTCAGATGAAATGATGAATTGTTTTACTTGATCTATGAAATTTATTTCAGAACCATATTGCAATTGGAAGGAGTGTCGGCACGCTAGAAAACATTCTTGGAACTACATTACATAAACAAGAAATGGAAGCTGCCTACTTGAATTTTGAAGCACTTTGTGACCACGAGTATGAATTTAATTGCATACTCTGCGGATACTTTCCAAAAGTTGTCATATGGGACACTTTTCGAAAGGCGTCATTTAGATATGCAGGTAAATATAGTTCTTTTATTACTCGTCCATGAACGAGCATGCAAAAATGAGACGAAAAAATCAATGAGGCCGAAAAGGGACACAACTGCTACTTCGTTTCCATGTATTGCACTAAAACAATATGGTAGGACCGGAGTTTTAGCGGATTTTTTAGTTGGCCACCTGTTTTTCCCTTTAAAAAAGAGTAACAAACGGCTCTCTGTTTTCGAAGTTTTAATGTTCTTTCGTCCTAACTGACCCCTAACAGACTTAAAATAATTGAATAAGAATATACATATGGGATACAAAAAGGCAAACGTACAATGTAAAACATAAACTATATATACTATGTAGGTTTGTTTCAGTTATGCTCTTAACATGGTTTTTTCCGACTACCGACAATATGGACACATTATCTGAAATATGCTTTCATAATAGGTCATACAATAAATTAAGAAAGAAAGCAAAGACTTTAGAATTAGTAACTAACATATATTTCAAGACACGATGTAGGAGACTTGCATATTGATGTTTTTCTACTTTTAAAATTACAGTTTCTGATCTAAAAATTCCTACCGAAGATATTAGTGAAGTTGTAGATGCAAGAGCATTTTGGAATGACATTGAAAACAGAATCGTGGCAGAAGGGCAGAGTAAAGGTAACTCTAAAATGTATAAGTGATAACATGAAGCAAGCATCGTCGGCTCCCAAAAGAGAAATAAAATCATACAATATAAATTCGCGACACATATAATTTATATAATATACATTAAGTCTCATGATCACATAATTTTAGCTGACAAGAATAGAAATATTAAAGGATAAACGCATTGATAAAGCTGACAGAGATATACTTTAAATTGTAAAGGTTTTTCTTGTATTAACATGTCTTATAAGCAGACTTTTACTAGTTTATTGATTTAGTGTATTTTCTAGACACTTTTGGAAATTAAAATCTCCCAGTCATTGTACATTTAGAATTCTTTGATGCAAAAAAAATCAATACTAGCTACTTACTATAAAGGCGAATATCCAGTTGTATTTTTTATTTCGTTTAATCAATGATTTTTGAAATTTTTTTTTCGATACGTTTCCAATGTTATTAGTAGCAACATTCGTAATTACCTAGTTATTACAAATATTACACGGGCGGAAAATTCATGTAATCTCTCAATGGTCATCGATAATCGCTAACAACCGATAATAGGTGAAACTAATTAAAATGTCATTAAGAAAAAATATAAAAAAAGACTCCGCTGTATTTCATAATATCTATTCAATGTGTCCTTCAAAGATTTTATATTTTTCAAATTTCTCTATTTTCTAATACACATAGGCGTTTCAGATCATAGTTATCTTGTGACTTTTGAATTTGGCACGTACTAAGTCACATGTCTTCTATACTGGACTCAAAGGAACGTATTCTGTTATTAAAAAAAAAATCATAGAACTTGAGTCGAATATTTGTCAACCTACGCCATTAATTATTTACGTATTATAACTACACAAGGATGAGTTAGTCTTTTAAGTGCTGATAGTAGAAAAGACCTTAAGATTTTATTTTTGTTCTACGTCCATCTCGTCTTCGATTTTCAGCTAACAGACTAGTGGATTTATCCCCTGCCTTCGAAAACTGGGCACCATGGATAGGAGAAAAATCACGAAGAGGAAACTTACTTTATAACACCGAGTTCAAAAAATGCTCCAAATCAAATGATGATGAGATTTCGGAACCAATGCCAGAGGAGCTACTGAATCATTTAATGAGTGATGAAAAAGTAAGAATATACATCATGAAATACTGATATGATTAACAATCACGATAGACAGAAACGGCTAAATAAAAATGATGTTTATAAATTCATAAAAGTAAAATTTGGTAATTATAAAAAAGAAGATGTGGTATGATTGCCAATGAGACAACTCTCCACATGAGACCAAATGACACAGAAATTAACAACTATAGGTCACCGTACGGCCTTCAACAATGAGCAAAGCCCATACCACACAGTCAGCTATAAAAGGCCCCGAAATGACAATGTAAAACAATTCAAACGAGAAAACTAACGGCCTAATTTATGTACAAAAAATGAACGAATAACAAAATAGTGATTGTTTTAGTTTGAACGATAATTTTTAGTTTGACCAAATTATTAATTACATGAATCTCCCCAGATTTTAATGACATTTACATTAAGATGTCGTTAAATGAAATTGGATATCCTGCATTTATCATGCTTTTCAACAACATATGTAAAAACCCCCTTTCAAAATTTTTGAAAATTATCATTCTGCATTGACAGTAATATCTTGTTGTAAATTAGATAAACTTATTATGACCTCAATGTGTATCTATTACTAGTAAAATCAAGTATAGATACGGTACACTTTTGCTCACAAATTGTTGCCAATATAATGAAATTCTATGCTACTGTCATACAAGTGAGAGGTTTTATTAGCTAGCTATAAAACCAGGTTTAATCCACCATTTTCTACATAAGAAAATGCCTGTACAATGTCAGGAATATGACAGTTGTTTTCCATTCGCTTGATGTGTCTGAGCTTTTGATTTTGCCATTTGATAAAGGACTTTCCGTTAAGAATTTTCTCTGGAGTTTGGTATTTCTGTTATTTTACTTTTTTGATACACTGCTCTTGTCATATAATTTTTGCTAAAGCGATCAATTCAATGGATACCAGCTGAAAGCAATATCTGGTGATACGTTTTTTTTTCTAACAATGACGCTGCTTCATAATTTTTTTCTTTTTGATTAGGTTGCATTTAATAGTTATTGGACACATCCTGGTTCACTGTTAGAACAGTGACTCGTTGTGGTCATTATTGCTGTTCTTTATCTCAACGTCACATTGTCACTAATGTGTCCCTTCAAAATGAATAACGAGGATTTTTATTTCTAAAATAGTTGATTGAAAAGTTCACGGCACAATACCTCTAAAACATGGTACGTCTCATCCGGTTTCATACGAAAAAGAATTGTAAAAATATACCCTTGAATTTGACAGTTGTAGGAAATTAACCCTGCATTTCACTACTGAACAAATTCTTAGCCACAACATATATCTTGGGTGTTTTTAATCACCATTATTTTTTGTCTGGAGACGAAATATTCCAAAGGGACATTCAAACTCATAAGTCGAAAATAAACTGACAACGCCATGGTTAAGAAAGAAAAAGACAAACGGACAAGCAACCGTACACAAAACACAACATAGAAATCTAAAGACTGCGCAACATGATATATGATTTATATATGGAAACTCGAGGTGACATGGTTACTAAAGCTAGTAAACAGAAAAGGGGTGACAATTTGATTGGTTTACTTGCGGATATGATTAGGTTATCTTATATGCAATGAAATGATTTGTGAAATTTCCACTGTAATACTGGACAGGATAAAACTTTACTCATGCAAAGTAATCCTGAACAACCTATTGAATAATGTTAATCTAAAAATGACAAAAAGTGGAAAACAATGGCCGTATATACAACATCCAAGTTTTTAATCATATTTGACATAACAATCAGTTCATTGTTTTTATTTTGTTTTGTTATTGATAGATCACAAATATACGGAAAATATGCAGAGAAATTGGAATTTCATCCAATGGTTCAAAAATGGACATGATTCTGCGGATAAGAGAGAAATCCATATCACGTGGTGCATTTGACAAGGCATACGAGAAAGTTTTTGGAAGTACAGGTACGGCAAGTTAAATTTTGTTGTGATAGTTGTTTTCCTATACATTTTGCAATTCAATGATAACTTTCATACATGCCGTTTAGTTTTTTATTTTTTATTTTTTATTTGTGTCTGATGAATCGTGAGAAAAACTTAATTATCACTTAAACACGTTAAATGATGTTGTACATTAGAAATGAACGTTTCCATAGATTTTCCTTTTTCCCGATAACAGAAAACCACCAGAACCTTACGGTTATTAGTTTGTTAATATTGACTTAATGTAATAAATATATATACACGATGTCTCAGATGCAGGGTTTCAAATCCTGCTGAGGGAAGAACAAACATTTGCAAACAAAAGTTTGCAGATCTAACATTGTTTGGCTAAATATGAGACTAAGTGTATTTATTATATGTTATGAAGGACAAACACTTCTAGCGCAAAAAGAGTTTTTCAAATACTGAAAAGGGAAACATCTTCGAATAAATATAGGTACCATTAGAAATTAGAATATTCAACAATGAAAAGTACATCACATGTGCAGTCAAACCGTCCATGCAGTTACTGAAGTATTATTTACTTAACAATTCAAAATTTCAGGTGGCTGGGCTGTTGGATGTTGTGGACATGGGGTAGTGTATGCAATAAAATGTCTTTTAAGATCCGAAAGTCCTAGAGATTATGTAGACCTCGAACAATCATTAAAACATATACCAAATATAACCATTTGTGACATCGCCCACCTAGTAGCAAAACATGGAAATAAAAGATATAAAGACATGTTTAAACCAAATGAGGGAAGACTTGCTCCAGCGACAGAGGAAATCATTGATCTGGCAGAAAGTGGAAGGTTACATTTAGCAACTACTTTTCTAGCAAACCAGCCCCATGACACAGTTGCTCAAATGGACCATGAATTCAATCCAACAACTAATTCCGACGTCCATTTTGCCCTTTTTGATTGGTTTCATGAGGGAAATTGTAAGCAAAGAGAAGAAATCTTGAGGAAATCATCACTACTGAAAGAGGTTGCTGGAGTTATTGACACACAAGCTGTTGAACAGTTGTTCAATGCATCCAAGAGAGACGTATATTTCCTTAATAATATGTCAGCTCTGCGTCATTTATTTCTTTTTCGGCTTATTTATCATCTGCGTAACAACAAACTGAACAAAGAACTGAAGCGAAAATTAGACGAAGAGTTCCATGGAAATCTTATTTTTAACAATTTGGGACAAGTACGACAGATATATTTGAACAGTGATACAAAGAAAAAAGGAATAAATATAACAGCAGATCCACAAGAGAGCACACATGACGCTACACTTTTACAAAACGTAATCAACTCTTCACCTATTCCAAAAGTATACGTTGCGCAGAAAATTTCCCCTATTACCTCGAAACCAATCACTGCAAAAGCAAGTACGAAATCATTATCAGAAATGCAGCCTCGTGAAAATCACTTACAGGAAATGATGACACTACAAGAAGACGTTAGGATAGAAATTCCACAAATGAAACTAATATATGATCTTGCATCCGCAATCATCTCTTCTGAGTCCTCCATGTCATCCGAGGAATCTGATGCTTTTTTGTATAACCTTCGTTATGCAAATTCCGTTCTTTATCGACAGGCAAATAATCAAAGACAGATGGAAATAAAAACCCATATGTCTCCGTTTGGTATGATTCAGTCCCAGGGTACATCGAACTACTGTGGACTATGTGCAATTAACAACATTATGGGCCCTGATGAAAATGGAAGTTTTCCGGTTTCAGTTCATGAGATGGACAATACTGCTGATTTGATGTGGATAAATATGATCGACAATCCAGCATTAGGTATTTTAGAGCGAGCGGAACCTTTACGTGACCGAGAAGGTTTCTACAGTCACGAGGTTATCTCTGCAACACTAGAAGCAAGAGGAATATCTCTGGCAAGAATAAGTGCAGACGCTTTGGTAGATTTACCACCTACAGAAGTACATTTATTATTGCTACATCAAGCAAAAGCTGAAGCATGCGATTTACTGGTACGTTTGAAAAATTCGGCACACTGGTTGGCAATTCGTGTGATGAGAGACAGGATCCTTATCATGGACTCTAGAAAAACACAGCCATATCCGTTATCTATTGAAGATGCAGCACATTTCATAAAAGGCCATTCTCGTCATCCTGGTGCTGTAGACATTGTCGTGAAATCAAAAACTATAGCAACAGATCAAAACCTGTCTGAATTGAAATACGAACACATTGAAAGAATTTCAGCCTGTCCTAGAGATGATAAAATTGAAGAGGTATTTTTCTAACGTATTTGAATTCTTAAAATTTATCAGTAGTTATGCCCCCCAAGTAACCAACCAAAAATCAAAATGGTATCAAGTGTTTCTGCGATAACTTTTATTCACACGCATGACCAAATGTTTGGAAATCAAATGTATAAAACCATAAAAATCAGAAAGAATTATATACAACAAACAAAACAGTCTCAAGTCAACTTTGCCTGGGGGAATTGATACGTTAGTGTGTTAGCATGGAATTCGATTCATTGGTTTAAACACTTCATGTTTTACATTTCTAAGGAACTGAAAATCTACAAGTTTACAAATTTTCAGGATTTAATCCGATTTGCAAATACTTAAAAAAAAATTACCACGACTATTTACTTTATGGAACTTTCATTAACACCGTGTATGTTAATATTTTGATAGAATATGTGTGGTATGATTGCCTATTAGACAAATATATTCAGTATATATCATATTACGTGGATAAAAGAAAAAATATATAGATAGTTCACACATGGCGTTCTTATGATTTCATTGTGCAGGCTTGAATAATTTATTGTAAATACACTGATATTTTCAGTTTGAACACGAAATGTACACAGATGAACCAATCAGAAGCCAGCATGACGACCACATATTACCGAAAGCGGAGTCGTATAGTTATGAGCTACGACCACGTATGTACAAGGCAAGTACTACCGTTACAACAATTATAAACATTTTTACGGTAGTATGTGGTATTCAAAACGAAAAATAACAGAAGTTTTCATTCTATTCCCAATTGTAGTTTATATCGTGACATACTCGAAATTAAAATAATAATAATGGGTCACAAAGCGTTTTTCAAACTACAAGTTTTGAAAAAAATACACATTTTGTAAGTGAAACCAATTATTGTGTTGATAAATAGAAAACCAATTAACATGTTAGTCACTTTAAAGTAATAAAGAAGAAAAATATGTTTTCACATAATTAAAAGAAAAAAAACACTGACAATTTTTTCTGTGAAATTAATATGCTTATTGATTTACAGTTAACATTAGTAACAGAAGAGTGTTAAAATTAAATTAAGATGCCCAAAATAATGAAGGATGTTCCCTACCTATATTAGAATTAGCAAACTTTAACTAATTAACGTGTTGAATTAAAAGTAAATATGAATAAAACACTAGGTAGTGTTATTATTAATTTAAGGACATATAAGATTATATTTACCTGTATATTTACTTGGATAATTTTTATTTATTACAGAAAAGACCGAGATCTTTCATATTTCCATCATACAAAGTTGGCGGAAAATACGAATGTATTTGCAACAACAAAAAAATCGACGGGTATGTATCATATCTCTTCTTTCTGATCTCTTATTTCATCCAACAAGTATATATATTTAACAAACATTTATTTGAAATACTCAGTTAACAATCAAAATGTTTTTATGTCCTTTAACCTAACACAATCTTACAAAATCAAAATCAAATATTAATAAATAAATTTGGTGTATTTACTGTCTTCTGATTGGTTAAAAGTATTACCTTTATTTTCAATGTTGTCAATTTTTATGACGACACGCCCACTCTGTTGTGTATTCATACGCCAACATGTGTGTACGTTGTTATTGTTAATATAAATAAAATAAAAAGCTCATTGAGCCTTATTTTTGATAGAAATTTATTTATAATGAATGGCTATTATTTATTTTGAATTTATTGAACCATAAAATTAATTGTTGACTCTTCACATTGAATAATCCGCGAAGTATTTATTTTGAATTTATTGAACCATAAAATTAATTGTTGACTCTTCACATTTTACATAATCCGCTTCGCGGATTATTCAATGTGAAGAGTCAACAATTAATTTTATGGTTCAATAAATTCAAAATAAATAATAGCCATTCATTAAATAGAACAATCGTCGATGACCCTTTTAGTAGCCATCGTCTACAGTTGTCTGGAGTATATTTATGTTTTTTTTTTTTTTTTGTATAACGTCCATTGGTAAATATTTTATATCTTATGCAGCAAAAATCCTGCAATCTAATTGGTTAATTACCCGAATGTAAATAACCCACCTTGATCACCCAGGGATAAATAAAATGTTGCTGAAATTCCTAAAAAAAACCATTTTTTTGCCAAATAATGAAAAAAAAAAAAAATGCAAAAAATTAATTTTAGGGAAAAAAAAGAATTAAAAATTAAAAATATTTTTTTCCACATAATTAATAAAACACAAAAAATTACAAAATGCCCGAAAATATAGAAAATTAAAAATAATATTTGGCAATGCGCGGCAACTGCATTGATGTTAAAAAAATGTTGCACTGGAAATTCTTCATTAACATTTTCAATTTAACATCACGGTTTAAAAATGAGTAAAGGAACGCCTCATAAGAAATAAATTCGTTGTTCTGGTGTAGTCAGGGGTGTAAGGAATTTTACACCGGTGTCGAAAATGCATACATCATTCGGCTGCGCAATTTTCCACACCGGTGTTAAATTCTGTACACCCCTGATTACACCAAGATAACTAATATTATTCATATTCAGGCAAAGAATTTTCTGAACTTGGTACACTGAAATGCCACCTTGAAATGACTACATGAATAATAAAAACTAGCAGAATGCATAATTAATCCGATTAATGTATAAATAAGGAGGAAGTGTAAAATTGTGTTATTGCCAACGAGACTGCTATCTACCAACAGAAGACAAGGGTTAGAATAAACGTCTTCGAATTTGAGCACTTTACTGTACATTCGAATTCCTTTTAAATGTCACAATGAGTATGTTATAACGTCGAAGAACTGATTGTTCAATGACATCTTTTATACAAATTGACCTCGGGTAACATGAAAACCGAAATAAGTAAATGAACGAATTATAAAAAAAAACTGTCAAATTAAGTTCAATTTGGGTACCCTCACTTTATACTGTTTATCTTTTTAAGGTTATATTGGTTATGCGATACTTGTGAAAGACACTTTCACCCGTCCTGTTTAGAATATATTGACAGTTCAGTGAAACCTACCGACTTTCAGTGTCCAGAGTGTGAGGTAATTTTCGGTCACCATTTTATATCATTTTAACATAATTGGTACCCAGTAGTAATCTTATTATCTTTCGTTAGAAATTAATCTGATTTGTAGGAAAATATTGAAAGAACATTTGGATATATACTGGTTTTTTTTTAATAATTTTTTTTTATTAAGTCACATTATTCTCATTTTTTTATAATAAATTCAAGTGAATTCAATACAAATTAGAGCTATACTTTTACCACATAGAAGAGCAAAATGTATATGGTTTAGTGAAACACACTTCTCATTTCAAGTTATTGTGATCAGCCAGTGTCTCGATTTTTAAATGAGGTTCTAGACTAATGATATTTTTTCAAGTCGAAACTCAATAAAATCAATTACAAAAAAAATTTCATTAGAAGCAACTATATATCCAATATCAGGTCAATGAAAGATGAAAAATAAGGCTTTTTTGTATGAGAAAGTGCGAGGTTAACCGTTTATTTTTCAGCAGTATCATTGGGCTGATTCGTCAACTTATGGTTTTTGTCGAAAAAAAACCACTTACCTGATTTGGATTTATCTATTCGGTATCAAGAGAGTGTTTATCGCATTTTAGAGAACATAAGGATTGCAAATGACATAAACCTGTTTATTTTGTCACAGTAAAATGATGCAACTGCCCGGAGTTCAACTATGATAGGGATTTAAAAGGGGTATACATTTCTCAATTCATCAGATTCTTACAATATAATAATGAATACAATAAACTGGACTTTGTGGAGTATCTATCAACGTTATAATTGAACAATGATAAAATTGTATAATGAATGAGTTTTCTTGTCTAACTCTACAGATTTTCGACTAAAATTTTACAAGTACATGATATCATTGCCATTCGAATTCTATGATATTACTGTAAATTTGCTTGAAAAAGGCGTTAAAAAAGTCAATTGTAATTTCAGGCATCAAGTGTTAAATCAAAGAAGAAATGTTGCAGTATTAATATTGATAAAACATTAGAGGTAAGTTAAAATTACAGAAAATGGAACTTTTGAGGAACAGTATTTAAATTTTCTACATTTAAAATTTTCCATAATATCTACTCTAAATTTCATCATCAGCAACAACATCATCATCATGTTAACCACTGAGTCATTGGATAAACACCATCAAACAATATTAGCTATAGTCTTTGTAAATCTTTTTCTTTTGGGTTCGATTACAATAACACATAAAAAAAACATCGTGAATATGATCATATTACATACAGATTTTGTAGCCGGACATATCGTATATTTTTCTGATCATCTGTTATTCAATTGTGTGGTAGGTACATGTACACATGACAAAATAATTAAAATAATTTGATTAATGTCTTCAACAGCCAAATAAAGAAAGCTTAGATAACGACGACACAAGTAGCATTGATACATTTATAGTTGAAGATTGCGATCGTAAGAAAAAAGAACGCAGCGAAAACAGTGAAAACAGTGGAGATGACGATGAAAATGATGAGGGTAATCTTTGAAATGTTCTTTTTCTGTTGATTCAGAAAGTACTTATTAGTAAATATCGTGCTGGTATCATCTTCATCGGATTTTAATTAGGTCGAATGAAAGATAGCTAATAGATAGAAAGAAAATATATAAAAAGGTATTTAAAAAAACATTGAAAATGATCATTTGCGATTTCAAAGTATATAAAATGGAATAATTCAAGATAAGATATAGCCATATGTAATTATTTCTAATTTTTAATATGATTGAAGGGTAATTTCATACTTTAAATGACATATTTTGCACAAAAGAAGAAACAAAACCTACCACTCAATTCATCTAAAACCTATGAAAGAACTTGTCTAATCCGAAATTAGAATTCTTTTTTTTTTCTTCTTCAGATTTTTCACTGGAATTTGCAGAGTTTGAAGTAAGTAAATTTACACGTTTAATACAAGTTGAGTCAAAGTGGCCGTTATATTTCGAAATGTTCTAAAGGTCCTAGCTGTTTGAAAATGTTTACAATGCTAAGTCTAATTCTACTTCAATATTTCTTTAGGAACCGGTATATACAAGGATCATAAGGAACATTTAAATGACTTACATTGAAAATACAGTGGAGTAGTTATGAAAAATCCTACAGAAGAAACATATTTATTGATATAGGAGTTTGAGTAGACCGGCATTAGACATTAGACATTATTTTATTTTATTTTACCAATCATGGAACCTTGTCAAGCAAGATACATACATCATATTACAATGATTATTATAAAACATGCAAGTTTTTAGTGAAATACGTAATACACAATTCACAAAGAAATAAAGTGAAAATATGAGCAATGTAGGATATTATATTACAGTATGAAGCATACAGTAGATATTAAAGAGATGGGGTCACCTTGAATAGTAAGCATTGTTAATGTAAATCCTGTTGGAAGGATACTCTTTTGGTAGGCACGTTTTAAAACATCCTAAGATATTGACAGTTTAAATTGTGTTACTTTTGTTTTCATAGAAAATAGGGATACTGACTCATATAAAGGAGATCATGTGCTGTGAGGATAGCAAATGGTGAGACTTTACTTAATTTAACAATTAATTCAATGCATGCAATTTAAAAAGTCTGTTGTGGTCTGTAGTATGTTATCATTTTTTCTGTTAAATCCTTTTACAAATTCATATGGACTCAAGACATTTCAAGGTTTGATACTTGTTATGATATTGTTTAGACACCTGTCTGAGTGTGAAGATAGTATGATGACCTGTAGATGTCTTTTAGTATTTTTTTTCTCGTTGGGTTGATGTTTCATTGATGTTTCATTGACGTACAACCCACGTCTCCTTTTATTTGCCAAAAAATCCTTATAAATAAAGTGTTTCCGTATCCATTTCCAATGGACTTGTTTTTTTATCAAGAATGCAGAAACCAAAAATATTGAAGCCATGAATGCATCATACCTAAATAAATGATGAACTTAACATCAAACGGGATAGAACAGACAAATAAATCTTTTTTCAGTTTTGAATGAGAGAGTTGAAATATGTCTTTGTTTATGTTTATAATTATCTTTCGTTTAGTCCAAACTATATTATTAACACACCAAAGATGAGTAAATGCTTCAAAAAATGTAATAAAAAGGAATAAATTATAAGGTCTGTAATAAATTTAGGAAAAATCTGCTAAACAATTTGTATTTTTGTTTTCACTGTTAAAGACTAATTTACAAAACACTCAACAACTTCAAATATTATGAATGATAAGACAATAATTCACTAATTGCTTTATATAGTGATGAAGCTGAACATGACCGCCACCACGAATTCATCAGCGCCGCTCAAACAGTCTATAACAGAGAGAGGAGAATAGTTGCCTTTGGCTGTGGAGTAGTTCCTCAAAAGGTAAGCCCCTTATTGTTTTAAATCTACCACATTGTTAAACATGTTATGTTGGTGATAAATAATGTATGTAATGACCATATGCCCTTTTTTTTTATGAAAATGTAGAAAAGATGTGCGAAGAAATAACCATCCACCAAAGAACAAAAGAACAAGGGTGAAAACAACTTTTAAAATGAATGCATTTTATTTCATATTAACTACAAATTACATAGTTACAGAGAACTACATGGTCACCTTTTATCTTTAACAATGAGCAAAATATTTACTGCATAGTAAGCTATAAAAGACCCGTAATAAAAGAAAAGCATTTTGGATCATTGTTAAGTTTTCACGGAAAGAAATACATCCCTATTGCACCTTCCAAATAAACTGTAATATCTTATTGTTTTCATTTAGTACGGTTGGGATGTCAAGTGGATTTCTGGTGGTTTTCAGTATCTACGGTTGCTTTTAATATATATCAAGCTCTATCATGTAGCGTTTATCATTGAAAGTACAATGTCAGAGAACTACTTATACCAAAGTTGTACATGTTTCTTCACTATTTAATACGGTAACATGATGGCGTTAGTTGTGATTGAATATTCAACATTTACCATTCTAAAGCATCCTCTTTTTTTTTTTTTTTTAACGATAACAAATATTTTTATTCAATCATTTCCTGATATATAAATACCTAAGTAGCCCAGGTCGCATACTTAGGAGCCCCTGTATTTTAACAGCCTCACTTGACCAGGGAAAAAATCAAATGAATTTAAACTTACAATAGTTTTACATACATATATTTAAATAACCAATACAATCGATTTTACCTGTTAAGCATCACTGTAATACATAATCACTATCGTATATCCGGTTCACTGACTAACATGTGTTTTAAATATTTAAACTTGAAAACTATATATTTGATTGAGAAAATTTGAATTGGAAATTATTGATGTGATTGAACAAAAATTGAAATTATTCTGTAATATATAAGTATGGATTATAAAAGGATAAAGCACATGTGGTAAGTACTAATGTATTAAGAAGCATGATATATGTGGTAATTTACTAATATACATAATATGCACAGACATAGATTCAAATATCGATTACAATACAAATATTTCTTTCTGTAAAAATAACTTATTGTTCACTACGTTCTTTCTAAAATACAATAAGATTATTATATATAGAATCGAACACACCTTTAGTTTAGAGCAGTAGAACTAAGTATATCTTCTTATATTTTTTCGATAAAGAGTTGAATTTTTGATCTGCATATATACTTTATATCCGAGCGTAGCAAGAGTAGTTTTAATTCGTTTTTCATTTGCAATTTCAACAGGCTTTGTATAGACTGCATATTCAGTTTAATTTTATCGAATTTGCATTTATTACGTATTTTCCAAATAGCCCATTTAAAATAAAGTATTATTGCATTAACAATTATATTATTCGAATTATCTGTACAGATTCCTATTAAAATATCTTTTTCAACGAGCGTCTCGTTATTTATTAGGTTACAAAGTTGTAAATTTCTGACAACTGTTTCTATCAATGGTTTAACATTATTACATTGATAAAATAAATGCTCGAGTGTTTCAATATTATTATTTTCATCACATAAGTGACATTTTCCATTTGACATATGCATTATTTGCAGTCTCTTTTCGGTATATATAATCCTGTGTATACATTTCCATTGAAATTCTTTAACTTTTCTATTAATATCCATTTTACTGAGATTTAGCCAAATTTTTTCCCAATTTATATACTCGCTATACAATTTTTCCCATTTTGTTTGACACTTAGGGGTCTCAGTTATGTTTATGTTTAACTGTAGATATTTTAATGTCAAATCTTTGATTTTAATGATTTTATTATCTGGATTTAGAAATTCAAGGTTTTCAGAAATTTTGATTTTGTGGCTTTTTAAAGTGCGTTGAACATCGTTGTTTTTTAAAATCTGCACGAATGTTTGTGGTATGGAACTTTTAATTCGCGAGTATTCCGAAATACAATTACGTTTATCTATTAGTTGTTGATATATTTCATTGCACGATTTAAAATCTTTGGTATTATTGTCCCATATATCACCAATAGTTTTTATTTGACTTTTTGAAAAAGAAGAATAAAATAAAGATTTGCCCTGAAATAAAATATTTGAGTTTCCAAATAATCGCTGTTTCTTTACTTCCATTTCGTTAAAGATACCCTGTGTGATACTTGTCAATTTTGACCACGATTGTAAAGCGCTTTTGTAATAATGGTCCGAGTACACAGTTATTTCGTAGTGCATTTCTTTTAGACAATAAATGAAAATTAAAAAAATCCCACCTGCGCTTTCTCAATAATATTTTTACAGTGTGTTGTACTACTTTTGGGACAAATTATATCAAAATTATAGAAAACTTCATCGGCTCTAACTCAAAATATGGACAATTTCATGTTAAGGGGGTCTTCAAATCTTTTGACAGCTTCCGAAGTGCTAATTTTTAACATTTTTCAGCTGGACCAAATCACTACTTTACTTTAAAATTCATGACCCAAATTTTTTTACAGTGTCATTTCACCCCCCTACTTACTATTTGAGTCATAAAACATGGAGAAATAAATTTGGAAGGGGTATAAAAAAAATCAACAAGTAACACACTGTCCACACTAGGGACTATATTCGTGGACAACGAAAATCAAAGGACGATAACTGTGTACCCGGACCTAATAGGGTAGAAAAAATTGACCAATCTTAATGAAACTTGGTATGACCAAAGCTTATTAAATTATAAGACTGCTTACAAAGTTTCATGGCAATAGGATATATATTAAAGACAATATGACTAATTCTATATTCAACTTTGCGTGTTAAATTTAGACGTTAAAATTGAAAATTTTCAACTATCAACATTTGGGGCTTAAAAAATTAAAATATTGCAAAAAAATACTTTTGAAATGCCTTAATATATAATATATTATGTATTAAAAGCAATAGAGTACTCATTTGATTTATCAGACTTATCATAATTATTAAAAAGTCAAATTTATATGAGCCTGTGGCTAAAAATGGAGGTTTTCCAATGAAGGGGGGCCTTACATAAAGATGTAATATTTTCCAGCAATTTTAAATTTGTAAAGCTTTTTGGTTATA